TTAAAGACATGAAGTTGAAGTCAAAATTATTAGCCTTAAATTATTAAGTCAAAATTATTAGCCCTAAATTATTAGTCAAAATTATTTAATTATTTTAAATATTTTTTTTCTTTTTTAAATATTTCACAAATTATGTTTACCAGAGAAAGGAAATTTTCACAGTATGTCTGATAATATTTTTCTTCTGGAGAAAGACTTAATTGTTTTATTTAATCTAGAATAAAAGCATTTTTTAATGTTTTAAAAACAATTTTAAGGTCAAAATTATTAGCCCCTTTAAACTAGATTTTTTCAGATAGTCTACAGAACAAACCTTCATTATACAATAACTTGCCTAATTACCCTAACCTGCCTAGTTAACCCAGTTAACCTAGTTAAGCCTTTAAATGTCACTTAAAATATTGTCTAGTAAAATATTATTTACTGTTATCATGACAAAGATAACATAAATCAGTTACTAGAAATTAGAAATGTGTTGAAAATATCTTCTCTCCCTTAAACAGAAATTAAGAAAAAAATAAACAAAGGGGCTAATAATTCAGGGGGTTAATAATTCTGACTTAACTGTATGTGTGTTCCAATATATATATATATGTTTTTTTATTTATGAATATTAAATATTAAGCTATGATGACAGATTTAATTAATGGCTAAAATATACCCCAAGTAAACCTAATAAACAAAATCATGAACTTTTTAAAACACTCTCTTTAAAGCGGACAGCAAAAACTGTCAAAATGAAGTCTTGTTGGCATCCAGTTTACAGAACAACAGATGGTTAGCTGCTCATGCTGTCAATTCAAATATCCCTTTTTTCTGAAGCGTTTTTAAAAACCTAACAGGTCTATTTGCCAGTAGGTGACGCAGTGGCTGATTCCAGTCCCCTCTCATCATGCGTTTATGCATAATGAGGCAGAAGGGGACAGAGTTCAGAAGAAGTTCAGCTCACTGCTAATCACGCTTTCCGCACTATTCTGGCAAATGCAAACCCTCTGAAGACCGTCACAGTAAAACCCTTACATCTACTGATTCAAGATGGCTTCTTATATAAGCTGTAACCTTTTGCACTGAAGATCAATTCTTTGTCTAAAGGTAAAGGGAGCGAGCTGGAGTAGCTAAAAGTGCTTGGCAAAGAAATGTGTTTTTGCAATTTCTGCCGTATCAATTGCAAGTTTGACGCAAATAAATAATGTTTGCGAGCCGTCTCATTTACACAGGGATGACCTCAGAGGAAAGTCTTGGCTCCTCTACTGATTAAAAAGTGATTTTTTTTTATATTTGTAAAACAGTGTGTCTTTTGTGTTTTAAGTGTAAGTGTTTGACAAGCAGCTTCTCAAGGACACAACAAGGCTTATATTTAACAGTGCATTCAAGTCTAAAATCAGGTTTTAATCCTCTAATATGGCTTATTTGTGCTTTGGGAATGCTCATTGATATCCTGATTTAAAAAAAAAAATACAAATTTGTCAAAGCTACCCTGTGCAGAAAGGTTTCATCCCCTGATATAAATCTCCATTTGCACAGTGACAGAATGAGTGAGCCCTTACATAACCAGCCTCTTTTAGTCCACTGTGAATGACAGTCGTGCCTTCGCCAGCAGACAGGAATTTACTTGTTCTGAAAAAACAGTGTGTGTGTAAGACTACTAAAAGTTAAAAAAACAAGGAAGCATTGGTACCCCATAGGGGGAAAAGAAGCAGTTGGTCTGATTCCCACATATTAAGATATTTCTTTCTTTCTATTTACTTTTTCAAAGTCTTATAGTCCCTGTAAATGAAACAGTATTAGCAGTTTTCTGTATTTTGTGATGGTGGTATTTTTTCCCATTTATTTTTGCTTTTGAATTGCATTATCAAACCTTGATCTTTCTTTCAATAACTTTTAACATTGAAAACTTGTGACTTTTATTAACATTTTTAATAAAGTGCTAGATTGTCTGGTGTTGGTGTTGTATGTTACAGTACAATAATCTTGTAATAAACTACCAGTACATTTTTTTATTTTTATTTTACAGGCTTGTTTCTCTATATATTACTTTTTATACATTCATATTATTTCAAACTACTAAAATGTCAGTAAAAGTCACTTTGTTAAACTGAGTTAAATTTTCGACATCAAAAGCCGACAGAGCAGAGATCAACGTGCCTGAGAGTTTTATTTCAGTATGTTAATGAACTTAAAACTGAAACGGAATATTGAGTAGGGTGTGGGGCTTTCTTTTGCGCTTCATTCTCTAGTAGCAAACTAACGGTAAGAGAGGACTAAATGAATGCAATTTCTATGGAAGCCCTCAGGTTGACATAAACAGAAACACCACCACTCCAAACGTAGAAGAAAATGGTCAGACTTTCATTGAAGATTACCAAAATAAACACATTTTTTGTGAATTTACTTGCAGATTGATCATTCACCTTAAGAATAACAATGTGAGCTAGCAAAATAAACATTGTGCGTTTTTATTTCACGGAAGCTTTAAGAGTTTTTTATTGGCTTCAGAAAAAAACACTGTTGTCCCATAACTTGCCTAATTAACCTAACTTTCTAATCAACTTAGCTAACTTTGTCTTTGAATTAATTTCTAAGCTGAATATTAGAATCTTGCAAAATGACTTGGAAGATATTATGTACCACCATCATTGCAAAGACAAAATAAAGTGGTAATTAAAACTATTATTTTTAGAAATGTGTTGAAAAATATCTTAATTGGCAGAACTTGGCAAATATTAAAAAAATAATTTATAAATTAATAATTTTGACATCAACTATACATACACACACACACACACACATACATACATACACACATACATACACACATATACATACACACACACACATACATACATACATACACACACACACATACATACATACATACATACATACATACATACATACATACATACATATACGCATACACACACACACACACACACACACACACACACACACACACACACACACACACACAAAGAGATTAAGATAGTTTTTTTTAAATTATCATTTTAACTTAATTCCAAACAATTTATTCCAAACAATTAATTTTACCGTTAGCAAGTACAGTTAACAATTGAGTAAGTCCCCTTCCATCTAATATATATATATGTGTGTATGTATGTATGTATATATATATATAGCACCGGAACATTTCAAAGGATAATAAATCATTCATCAACTAAAATCCTTAAAATCGCTAACATTTTAACATTTTTGGATGTATAGATTGCAAGTTTCTGCTAATATAGATTACGAGAGAGAGAGAGAGAGAGAGAGAGAGAGAGAGAGAGAGAGAGAGAGAGAATAATAGAAAGAAACAGAATAATTTCTCAAATACTTGATAAAAACATTTATGGAAGATGCCAGGTCTCTATAATATTTCCCTGATACTGAAATAATTAAAATATTATTCAAAACATTATTTAACCTATAATTGAATTTCCTTGATAACCAAGACAAAATGCCTCCAGTAATTTATCACTAGAAGTATTTCACCTTAAATGAAACTAGCTGTGTGTTGACTTCAAGCAAAATGAACTGAATTTTACTGTAGGACAGTTATCTGGTATGTTACTGTATTTTAAAGTAGCATTGTAAAAATTACTGTATATTCCACAGTAAAGTCATACTGTACTGTAAATACATATACAGCAATATAAATAATGCAAATGCAAATTTTGTAGTTTTTGCTGTATTTGATTTACAGTAAATTATTGGCAATCTGCTGCTAGTAGTTTATTGTAGATTCAACAGGAAATTGTTAACAGAGTGTGTATAGTTACAGTAAATGCATAGTTAGTAGTTAGATTACCGCTCTGCTATGTCCTTTCTGTACAGATGTAAAATAGCTTCTACCTCAAGAATTATGTTCATATTTATGATGATGTTTATTGATGCAGCACTATGGTCCTGCAAGACACACTATTTCATTCCACTGAATTTCCACACGTCTAGTTGAAAGACAATAAAGCTCAACTTGGACTTGAAATTGAAAATAAATAAATATATTAGGCTGGCTAAAGTTCATAAACCTTAATGCTATTCGGCGTCCAGAGGCCTTGTGCTACCATAGATAACATGAGAAAGTCTTTTTATCCGGTGCACTTTCTCTGTTAAAGCTGACAATATAAATGTTTCAGCGGAGAAAGGGTGTGACTAAGCCCTGTAAAAATGGCTGTAATTAAATTCACTGATTCCAACGCTGTAATAAAGTTGTTCTTATAAAGAAAACTAAATATAACCTTAATACAGACCTGCAACTCTAATCAGCGTCTCACAAGCCCGAGTCGCTGCTTTATAAAAGCAGCGCTTTAAATAATCCTTCATTTAAATGCAGAGCACTTTTGTTTTAAGATCACAGTTTTTTTAAGACCAATTCTGTTGTCCTAAAGAATCGTCTAATTTTGTAGTACATTCTGTTGGGCTATACTTTTTAGTAAGTTAATGATGTATTATAAATATTGCACACTTCTAAAAAGAGCATGTTGATGTTCTAAAATCAATTCACAAAGAAAAATGCAACATTTTTTTTTTTTTTTTGGAATTCATACTACACAGATATTTACAGAATGCTTTATAGCTATGATCATGTGCTGTCAGGGACACATGGAGCTTCTAAGGTTTTATTAAAGTCATTTACCTTTGTCTTTACTATCGTGTTCCTTAGGCAACAATAAAACATAGTAAGAATTCAGAAGAATATTGAGTGAATATTTAAATACTGTATAGTGAATATTTCCTTCAAACCTAGCCTTGCGCCACTCTAAAATACAACCTGAATGTGGACTGTCTGCATACGAATGGAAAGAAATTGAAAAGATAAGTGCAGAGACACATGTGATTGGAATTTGATCAGGTCATTCCAAAAAAAAAAAACAACAAGTCTGAGCTGTTTGGATCTGACAATAGTGCAAACTTTCCACCACTGGTCACAAGAACAGCCATTGGAGTCTGTAAAAAACAGTGTTTGTGATGAAACCTCAAGATCGAACTGTTTGACTCACCAGTAAAGGAGGCTGAGGGAGAGCAGAAAAAGGCACACGGTCAGTGAGAGTCCACTCGCCTCGACCCCAAACCACTTCAGACCGTCCACTAACAGCTGCATGATGGGATCTGTCAATCTCACCGTTTTCTTCCTGCACATAAAGAGGAGACAACAAACTAAATGCACTTGATGTTCAAAAGGACTGCACTACACAGTGAAAAAATCCTTTAGATGAACAATTTTATCTGATCTTTAAAAACAGACAAGTCAATTAAAATATTCATTCATTCATTTTCTTTTCGGCCCCCGCATATGTTTTATGCAGGTGATGCCTTTCCAGTTGAAACCCATCACTGGGAAACATTCATACTCACTCATTCACACACATACACTACGGACAATTTAGTCTACCCAATTCACCTATAGCGCATGTTTTTGGACTTGTGGAGGAAACCAGAGCACGCGGAGAAAACCTACGCAAACACAAGGAGAACATGCAAACTCCACACAGAAATGCCAACAGGCCCAGCCACGGTTTGAACCATATTGGCAACCTTTTTGCTGTGAGGCGATCGTGCTACCCACTGTGCCACCGTGATACCTCCAATTAACCATAATATCATTAAATTATACGATCATCTGTCATACACTTAATAATGTATTTTTTTTTTTTTTTGCTGCTTGTTCAAATTACTTATTTAGGTTAAATTGTATCAATGCATTTTTTTCTTTTTTTGGCACAACTTAATTGTTTTATGTCCAATCCACTTAATTTTGTAGAAACAGCTATGGTAAATTAATTGATTTGTGTTGAAACAACATGAAGGAATTGTAAAAATGAATGACAACCAAAGGGCCCTCTGATTTCTGTGATGCTGAAAGTTATGGAATACATTATTTGACAAAATTATTATTACATTTTTAACGAATAATCACAATTTTTCCTATCCGTTTTACCTTTTGAGAATTTGAGAAACGTTCTAAAAATTAAAGATGTTAAATTGTATGTGTAATTGTACTAAGTGCTGAAATTTTTTCATTTATTAGATCTGTAACATTTATTTTTAGCTATTGAAACATATGAAAAAAATATAATTAGAAAAATATTAATTTAAAAAATAATAATTATTAGAAATTATAAAAAAATAGAAATAATAATAATAATTAGAAAAATAATAATTAGGAAAAAGGTGACACGATCGCTCGTTGAGTAACACCGTCACTTCACAGCAAGAAAGTTGCTGGTTTGGCCCATTGGCATTTCTAAATAGAGTTTACATGTTCTCCCAGTTTTGGCATGAGTTTTCTTTATTTGCATAAAGTTCTCAACCTTGTCACATCGCTCAACAAGCCTACCTGGTCGCCAGCGCTCACTGTCGTTCACTTAGACAGCGGTCGCCAGAAGTAGCTCGCTATATGTTGAAATAAACAGTCACTTGTCGGTACCACCAACATGCTGGATAAGTTGGTGGTACATTCCACTGTGGTGACCCCTGATAAATAAAGAGACTAAGCTGGAGGAAAATAATTGAATGTATTATTAGAAATAATAATAATAATAATAATAATAATAATAATAATAAACTTTGGCTGGGTCAGTTGGCATTTCTGTGTGGAGTTTGCATGTTCTCCGTGTGTTTGCGTGGGTGCTCCGGTTTCCCCCACAAGTCCAAAGACATGCGCTACAGGTGAATTGGGTAGGATAAATAGTCTGTAGTGTATGTGTGTGAATGAAAGTGTATGGTGTTTCCCAGTGATAGGTTGCAGCTGGAAGGGCATCCGCTGTGTAAAATATATGCTAGATAAGTTGCCGGTTTATTCCACTGTGGCAACCCCAGATTAATAGAGGGACTAAGCTGAAAAGAAAATGAAAAAAAAAAAATTTATAAAAAAAAATAAAAATAATTATAATAATAATAATAATAATAAATGGAATTCAGGATGATTTAAACTAAAATTGATTATGGGGAGAAATGTTTTAATCCCAGCTGTTTATTAAAAAAACAACAATGACAATTGTGAATAAAATGATTTTAGGTACTGCAATGTTTAATTATTATTTAATAATTTTTGATATTTCCAAATTATCATCATACATCATTATATAGAATTTTACTATGAAAAAATATAAGCTCAAAAAATGGACAGCATCCCCAAAGTAAGTGAGTAAAGGTGTATTTATATAGCACCTTTTACAGACAATAAGCCACAAAGTGCTTCACATTAAAAGAAAACTGGAAAACAGGTAAAAGAAAGCATATAATTAAACAAAATATATAAAAACAGGTTAAAAGTCCAAAAAAAGAAACACCAATATAAAACCAGCTAACCATAATGTTAATTAAAAGCTTGACCAAAAATGTGTCTTTAAATGTTTTTTAAAAAGGTCAACAGATCCCAGAGTTCTCAGTGCTAGAGGGAGAATTCCAGAGCCTTGGGGCCACAACACAGAAGGCACGGCCATCTTTAGTCTTAAGACATGTTCTGTGAATGGCTAAAAGGTCTTTGCCAATAGACCTCAGAGACCAGCCACAGGAGTGACCATGTAAAAGATCTTGAATATAAAGGAGGGCTTGAACATGCAGAGCTCTATATGTTATTACCAGAATCGTAAAGTTGTCTACCAGCTAATAACGTTCTGTTAAAGTGAACATAATGTTAGTTAACATGTTTTTTAAAAAAAATACACAATACAAATAATTAAAAAATTACTGGTGTCTAGCATGGCTGACATTATATTATCATCAACTGTCAAACAGATTAAGAGCATATAAGAATATCAAGGTGTGCAAAAGGGCCAATATTATAAATTTCACAGTAATAGACCATGCAGGGAAACATTTAGATATAATAAAACTGACACTACCCATGTGATTTGTATACTTTGCATAAAGCAAAATGAGAAATTAGATAACCATCTCATGCTCACTTGATAAGACAGGAGAAATCAGAGCTATAAAAGTATACATTAAGGACATCGCAGGACTTGAGTTTACTGTACTAGATTTGTTTCAGTATTATTGATACATACATAATATCAAAGATGCAGTTATACAATGGAAAGATTTTTCTGGAAAGTCATTATATAGCTACAAGAAAGAAACAGATTTATCCATTTGACAGCGATTCCTTTCTGCTAACGCTCTGTGTTTATTACGTAATTATTAACGTTCTCTAACAAAATTAAAGTTAAAAGTCGGGATATTTATAATTAAATGTCAACACTGTGTTACTGTTGCACCAGTACAAATACGATGAATAAGTTCAACACTTTCAATGTTATGTCATGTCACCTTTCACCTATTGTTTTGAAATAGCATGCGTACAGCAGTTTAGCCTTGCGGAAGAAGACATCTAATCTAATGGTCTTCTGCTAATATGTGTTAGTCTTGGTATTTCAGAGATGCTGTGTAGTAGTGTTATGAACGTATTAGTTAACCATGATAGTAAATAATAATAACAACGCGCTTACCCCGTGTTTGACAACAACCGCTTGCGATGACACAGAGGCGTTCTGGAACTTGTAGTTTTGCGCTGACAATAAGCGCTTTTCCCACGCAATGAATTGTGGTACTTGGAGTTTGCACAGTGCTCAAGTTTTTTTTTTTTAACTTTATTATTAGGCTGTTAGAAGATTTTTTTATTAATAATAATAATAATAATAATAATAATAATAATAATAATAATAATAATAATAATAAGGAGAAGAAGAAGAAGAAGACAAAGAATCATAGTTATATCATATCATTGTACAATAATTATAATATTGAATTCAATTTTTTAATATAATAAATGTTTAAACATAATATGGGAATTAGTTATATCAAGTTGCATTTTAACATTTTGTGTACCCATTTTAGGGCTGTGTTCATTTCTTTCCACATCCATTACCTGTTAATCTAAAATTTATTATTAATTTAGATAAATTTTGAATGTAGTATTATTGATTATATTTACTAATTTAATGGTCATTTATTTATTGTTTTACTATTTTTTAAATCATACTTTTTCTTCTATTAATCATTTTACTTTTATTGTTTACATTTGTTACAATGTTTTAATCCAGTTTATTTACCTCTTTGCATGTCCATTTAAATGTCTAAATAATAAAAAACGTTTTAACCTTGTTTCAACACAAAATTATTAGCCCTTTAAGCAATATATATTTTTCGATAGTATACAGAACAAACCATCATTATACAATAACTTGTTTAATTACCCTAAACTGCCTAGTTAACCTAATTAACCAAGTTAAGCCTTTAAATGGCACTTTAAGCTATATAGAAGTGTCTTAAAATATTGAATCAATTATTATTTACTGTCATCATGAAAAAGATCTATTCATTTATTAGAAATTAATTATCAAAACTTTTATGTTTAGACGTGTTGAAAAAAAAATCTCTTCATTAACAGAAATTGGGGGAAAATAATCAGGGGGTCTAATAATTCTGACTTCAACTGTATGTGGTAATTTTTAAAATGCCTTTATTTAAAAATACCATTCATTCACATGAATATTATTGTACATTGTGTATCAAATTACAAAAATAGGGGCAACACGGTGGCTCAGTGGTTAGCACTGTCACCTAACAGCAAGAAGGTCACTGGATCGAGTTCCGGCTGCGTCAGTTGGCGTTCTCCCCATGTTGGCGTGGGTTTCCTCTGGGTGGGTAATGTCTAGATTGGACGGCTGCGGATACACACATCAGCATCATTTTTGTGACAATTAATCTTTTTTTAGTATTGTGACGGTAGGGTTTAGGGTTGGGTGGAGGTAGACATTAAAAAAATATGACATGGGCTAAACTGTAGGTGAATTGAATTAACTAAATTGGCTGTAGTGTATGAGTGTGTGTGTGAATGAGTGTGTATGGGTGTTTCCCAGTACTGGGTTCCAGCTGGAAGGGCATCTGCTGTGTAAAAACATATTTAGGATAAGTTGGCGGTTCATTCAGCTGTGGCAACCCCTGATAAATAAAGGGACTAAGCCGAAGGGAAATGAATGAAATTTAAAAAATTACAACAATATTAACATTTAATTAAAATGTAATATTAATATACCATCTTATCACCAGCACACATTTAGGCACTTTATCAGTAGTATTTTGACAGAACTAGCTCTGTTCATAAAGCTAGTGTACTGCGTGATCGAGTAGATCGTCGTTTGATTTAAACTCCCTGCTCAACACGATCAGCTCTCTCGTCGCTCGATTATAACGCAAAGTCGCTCCGTTCGCTCGCTCGTATCTCTCATTGCAACTTTTGCAGGCACTCACTCCACAGACATGATCACAAGCTGAAGCCAAGACCTGCAATTTGGCTCTGTTTTGGAGCCAAACACCACCGAGACCCGTGGAGTTAAGTTGCAGACGTCCGTTTCTCATCACGCACCCCGGGCCGATCATCAAATGTAAATTCTGGATGTGATTTTTCAGTCTTTTATCCCTTTTCTCTCCCCCGATGAACTGGGTTAGTAATGCAGGAGATAGCAGCGATTCTGTCCGCGGCTCAAGATGGCAGATTTTTATTGAGTTGTGAACAGTGCTGTCGCTTCATTTTTTGCCATGAATAACAGAAACCCTTGCACCGATGGCCCCTGTATACGAAGGTAAGATCCACAGCCTTTACCATGGTGAAATTGATGTCAGACCTGCACGTAATTAAGCAACATTATTCACTCTCTGCGCAGAGAGACCGTCGGGTCCTGAGGTTCATTACCTATCTATTACTTGTGTCAGAGAGGATGCATTTGTTTATATTAATGTATGTATCAAAAGCAAAGCGTCTGACATATAGTTGTTGAGTTCGTTCTGCTTTATTAATTGTGAATGTGTGACTAAAATGCATTAACAATACCTATAATTGTCAAATGCTGTTCCTCACTTAACGTTTATCATTAAATGGTGCCATTACAAGGTTTAAAATAGACTGTCGTGCATGCTCTGTGTATAATAGCCTAGGTTATTTGGATTTATTTGCTAGCGTACGAAACAGAAAGGGAAAAGTGGATGTGAGTCAAACACTGTGCATACAGATGTACTTCTTGCTTTCTATTTTCTTATTGAACTATTATGGGACTTGACATGCTGCACAATAGCGTTCATGTTGTAATGGTTTAGCATAATTTATACTAACTAATACACTGCAGTGTTGTGGTGACTAATCTTTGTGCAGGAATGCTTCATAAAGCGAATACAGTGCAGTTTTTTTGTACCCTCTTAGCATTTATTTGTTCTCCACGAGTGGTGAAATCGATTCATCATCAGCCTAAAATACTGTTTTGTTCTCTATAGAGTGTCTCGAGGTCATTCACAGGGCCAGTTCACCCTAAAATGAATCCTGTCATCATTTGCTCACCTTTTCTGTGGAGATTTTAGACAGAATGTTAGTGTCCGCCAGTCTGGTTGTTCACTTTCATAAAAGATGAATTGAAAGTGAACAGTGGTATCTTTTCCAGTCATACAGCTTTTGAATGATATGAGGGTGAGCAAATATGCTTGAATTGACATTTTTGGATGAACTATTCCCTTACGGCTGTCTTGAAACCTGTGCGCTTCCTACCTAGACAGCATCATCAGTGCATATGCAGCCTTTTATTCAGTGCTATAAAAATGCTGTCTGTGTAAGCAGCTCACTACTGTAGGTCTTGTGGCAGAGCCTGTGTTGTGGTTGAGTTTGGTTTCAGATTGAGAACAAATCCTCTTTGTTGGTGTTAGTTCATAATTAAAGATGAAGCCCTGAAAATGTCAGAGGTGCCATGATGCCTCCCTCAGACAACTGCAGGATTATGCTTGAATTTTGAAAAGTATTTTTGATTGATTGATTACCCAGGCTCCCTCTGCTGGTGGTATCAATCCCACCATAGCAAATGTTAATCAATGTCTTTGTGATTATTTGCAAACAAATAAGCAGTGCTTTTAATGAACTAACAAACAAAGGGAAGTGGGAAATATGCAAACTTTTACTCAAATAGTTTTTTGACTTATTAGGTGCTCGGATGATTTTACTATGCAAATGATAGATAGATAGATAGATAGATAGATAGATAGATAGATAGATAGATAGATAGATAGATAGATAGATGACAGACAGACAGACAGACAGACAGACAGACAGACAGACAGACAGACAGATAGATAGATAGATAGATAGATAGATAGATAGATAGATAGATAGATGACAGACAGACAGAGAGACAGACAGAGATAGATAGATAGATAGATAGATAGATAGATAGATAGATAGATAGATAGATAGATAGATAGATAGATAGATGACAGATAGATGACAGATAGATAGATAGATAGATAGATAGATAGATAGATAGATAGATAGATAGATAGATAGATGACAGACAGACAGACAGATAGATAGATAGATAGATAGATAGATAGACAGACAGACAGACAGACAGACAGACAGACAGATGATAGATAGATTTATTTTGTTAGAATACAACTTTTGAAAATCTTTAAAGTCCATGTAAAATCAAATGTACAATGTTTATTTTGCTAGTAATTATTCTTTAGGTGAACAATTAACTTTTTTTTTTGGTAATCTTTAATCACAGTCTGTGTATTTGCTTCTGTGTTTGGTGTGGTGGTCCTTCTCTATTGATCTCTGAGTCAGTTTGATGGCTTCAGCTACAATATTTTTAGCCACGCCCCTCTTACCGTTAGTTTGCTGCAAATAAATGATGCTCAAAAACAAAAGCCCCGCCCCCTACTGAAAATTCCTTTTCAGTTGAAAGTACGTCAATATGCTGAAATACAAGTCTCAGCAACTTCCAGTTCAAGCGGACTTTAATGTTACAACCTCATGGGACATCAGAAGACCCTTGAGGCTTGTCTTAGCCTTATCGTTACTCCTGAAGTTTGCTCTGTGTATTGTGTAAACAGCTTTTCCTATGGGGATGTTTACCAAGATCCCAAACAAAACCGAGTGAGCTCAATTTAGAACCAGTCTGCAGAACTTTAACGTCATTGTTTAGTCAAATGGTGGTGCTTATAAGGTGCAAAAAGAGATCTGTCATTTGGAAGTAGTCGCTGAAGTAGAAGTGACATTGTTCTGCTGGCTTCTCTTTTTCTGCTCTTGCTTATTATAGATGCATGCGCTCAGAATGGAAATGTGGGGCAGCATCACACATTTTCTTTACTGTCCATATGTCTCGTGTGATATTATGAATGTAATTATGTGGTTGTTACACTCCCGATGGCTGGATTTGGATGGTTTCTGTTACTGTTTATCACTCTTTGTTTCACTCATAGACTATAGTGCTTTTTTAGGTGAGTTTTAAAATTGGGAGTTTATTTGTCATTTCCTTATAGATGATTTAATGGGTTGGTAATCTAAAAATTGAACATTTGTTGTTAACTTAACCACCCTCAGGTAACAGAGTTAAAAAATTAAGTGATTCATTTTCTTTTTATAGGTTGTTAAAATATTGGTGTCTGTGATGCAGCAAGTTCAGAGACTGTTGTGTACACCATTATTTTATATAAAGTTCTCTTTAATGTGTGATATGACTAAAAAGTGGTCAGAAACAAATATTTTCTGAATTCAAATGAGTAGCGGCTTGGACCCGGAAAAAGTATTCCATACGACATCACTAAGCAGGCGAATAGCTCAAATGTTTGGACTGTGGGGAAAACTGGAGCACCCGGAGAAAACCCACGCGAACACGAAGATAACATGCAAACTCCACACAGACTGCATACTGGCCCAGCCGGGACTGGAACCAGCGACCTTTTTGCTGTGAGGTGACAGTGCTAAGCCACATTTTTGTGTGAACTATCCCTTCACTAATTGGTTAACATATTGCTTTTTGTGGTTTGGTGCATTTGAACATGCATTAAAAACTAGATTAAATGTACCGTCATGCTTGTTTATGGTTTATTTACAGACTCCTCTGCGCATCTCATGCCTGTCAGATGCATGTATTGTGTTGTTAAAAGCACGTGTGAGCTGCCTTGAGCTCTTTTGAAAATCAGGAGTAAAAAACCTTTCAGTTTGTGAATAAATATCTGTTACTGCTCCAGTTTAGGGTACAGACTGTCCGTTGAGACGTTTGTAATGCCAGTCCATAGTGAGAGCTCTTTGTTGTTGCCTTTTCCCCTGCACTGATGTGTCTTTGTGGAGCGCTGTGGTGCAGGCCCAAATGCTCTGGCTCAATCCCATACGGAAGAGTAATCTGGGGCCAGAGGAGTCTTGGCTCCTGGCCCCGTAACCCACACTGACATGTTGATAAATGCCTGATGTGAGGACCAGGACGACCTGTCTCTGAGGCAGTAGGAAGCAAATGTTTAGCCTTGAAATGTGGAGATGGAAAGACACCTTGAGACAGGCCTGTCTGGGTTTTTCAAGCGAATTGGTGGGATTTTGTGAGGTGATTATTAAACAGCATGTTTGGAGCTGAAACTCTCTTTTTAAAGTAAACATTCTGTCATTATGTATTTACAAATCCGTCAGCAGATCACTAAGGTTTCTGCTCATTGATGGATCAGTAGATAGAGCAGGAGCCTGTATCATACAACTGAGTTAGCTGGCTATCAAGTTCCAGTTAAGTTTGCACCAATTCTGGGTTTTTACTGTGATGGCAGCTCAGCTCATCTCAGGTGCTTCATAATATCATGGCAACAAAGAGTGGTTAAAGTCAAGCTGCCTTTGTGACCTCAAACCCAAGATTGGTGCAAACTAAACTGAAACTTAACTAGCTATCTAGCTAATACAGCTTCATAGTACAGACCCCTGGCTTTCAAATACTCTAGTGCAGGGGTGGGCGAACTCGGTCCTGGAGGTCGATGCCTTGCACAGTTTAGCTCCAACTCTAATCAAACACACCTGCTTATAGATTTCTAGTGATATTGAAGACATTGGCTGTTTCTCAATTCCAAGAACGCAGAGAATGAACTTGCGTTCTTGTGGAGACCGGTCTTGCCAGATGTCCTCGGAAGAACGAACTTAGGAGACCGAGAGGGCAGAGAACGCGTCCTTTGAGAAATGAGATGCTGCGTTCTTCCTGATGGTCATGTGACCTTCATGCGTTTTAAATGGTAAAATATTTAAACATTACAGCACTCATACAACGATTTATTGTTTTTCCCCTCTTCAAAATATATACTTTGCATAAAAGCATTATAAATATACCCTGCACAATATAAATAAAACAAATTTTAATACGAATTTCAGCAAGCAAACACCCTTATGTGTTTATTCCTTTATTAAGATGTTCATGTTAATATTTACTTTCACCGTTTCATTTAGGGAAAGTCCTGAGGTAAATAAATTATATCTCTGAACTTTAATAATAAATCTAAATAAAATGCTGCGCTTCCCATCTCCAGTCGCAATGACTTCTGGGACTTAAAGAGCGAGTTCGGTGCTCAAGTCTGCATCAGTGCGTCCTCGATATCAAGAACACATCCGGGAAGTTTCACACGTCCTCCGTACTTGCGGTCTTGAGTATTGGAACTGAACTTAGGCAGCTGATGATGACGTTGCACGAGAACACGAGGACGCAAGACCGCTGAAGAACGCATATTAAGAAACAGCCATTGATTAGCATGTTCAGGTGTGTTTGATTAGTGTTGGAGCAAAACTGTGCAGGAC